TTGCAGACCACTATATATTTTCGGTAAGTATAAATACGACTGTACAACCAGCCTCTGAAGATGATTTCGTCGATAAAAGAAATTTTCTTCGCTGATGAATTTGTCTTTTATTTTCTTCATGACTCAATGGGTATTTTCGGCAATACTGTTTTTGTTTTAGTGTAGTTATATTCTCACAGTTGGACGGTTTCTCATTAGGAAGCTTTCACGGTCATCGTCTTTAAGATAACATCCCTAGAGGTCTTTTCACATAGAAGAAAGCTTCACAATTTATAAGCCACCCACCCAGCTGGCTGTTGTGGCTTCATCCCTATCGCCAGTTTGTTATGGACCTGTTGTCAATTGATATAATCTCGTCGACAGATGATATAACCGAGGGGACTTATGAGTAGGTAATATAACACTGACGCAGTGAACAACTCAACTCATATTGCTAGATACACCCAGTCGTCCCTAGTACCTTCCGCTTCACCAAGCCAAGTAAATATCAAAAGACAATGACTGGCGCCTGTGACAGTTCAGATACAACTTTTATTAGGAAAAGAAACACGCCAAATTTATGTATTTCTTTTTTTTTTCTAACCATATCAAAATATGCCTAGGGCAATGGAAAATAAATTCTTCTGATTGGTAGGTGATTCAGCTACGTTCAGAGAAAATAAACACTCTGGTTTCCAAGTATTGGCGTGTGTAGGGATTTCATTGGTTGGTTGGAGGATTTCACCATAAGCTGACATCGGTTAGAGAACCACTGGAGAAAGTCAGAGTACTGGACAGTCGTTTCGTCCTAGTTTGGGAAACTTCATCAGTACGCAATCACCGCCAGGGTTCGAACCCAGGCCCTCCTAGTTACACAGAGAGCTCGTAGACCATTAAGCCACTGGAACCCAATCAAATGGCTCAAGAATTCCAACTGGTGCCAATTAATGCACGATATAGCGCTACAATTCGCCAATGTATTCGGCGAGTATTTGTTCTCACACCCGGACCTATTCAGGTAGGTAGTTACCTGGGGTTCTAGTGGGAAGTCGTGACCAGTAGGGTACAGCAGGTAGCATGTGAGAACAAATACTCGCCAGCGATGACACTGGCTATCGCCAGTCGCGTTATGTTATCAATTGGCAGAAGTTATAATTCATGGGCTGGCTATTTAACCGGATCCCAGTGGCTTAATGGTCTACGAGCTCGCCCTGTAACCAGGAGGTCCTGGGTTCATACCCTGGTGGTGGGTGCGTACTGATGAAGTGTCCAAAACTAGGACGAAACGGCTGTCCAGTACTCCCAGGTTTCCCAATGGTTCTCTAACCGATGTCAGCTGATAATGAAATTCTGTAACATATTCTGATTGGTTGACGATCACACTAGGACCAAATTATGGAAAAGATGATGGAATTGCACTGTCAGTCAAGGTCATCCAACCATAAGATGAATCATATGATGAGTCACAACTTGATTATTACTTCAAACCGCATCCTATCAACAGCATAAGGAAGATAGCCACATCCCAACAACGAAATAGGAACTTCTCCAGTATTTCTGATTGAGTTTCAACATGTAACTATTGCTCAGAAGTGCAATAGTTACAAGTTCCCACACTCCATGTGGCATACAAAAGTAGACAAAAAAGAGGAAAACAGAACGAAATTCAAAAGAACACTTTCAAGCCATTCTCAGTGGCTCAGATGCATCCACTCTCCCTCTCTCTATAATCTCCCAGATCCGGCAAAGTTAAACCATAGCGTCCCAGGGATATGAACGCTCCAATGACCTTTAACGCATGCTAGTCGTCAGCTAACGACCCTTGTCATTATCAAAGCGCAAATACGAACGCTATTCACCAACTAAAGAGCAAATTTAACCCAGATCACATTTTAAAATACTGTTTGGACAATGTGTTAATAGCTCGTTAGGGTTAGGATTGGGGTTAAGGAAGGTATTAGGGTTAAGGTTAGGATCAGGGTTATATTTAGAGTTACGATTAGGGATAGATTTAGATTTGGTATTATTTATTTTAATTTGTTTTATTATCCACATTTTCCCAGTAAGCAGTCGTCGATCCTCTTACTGGAAACCATGGTATATCAACTGAGGGCTTTTGGGGAAGACTGCAAAACAGCTCATCTTCAGTCACCTCGGTGCACATATATAAAGAAACTAGTCTAACTTAGCAACTGATACTCCTCATTATAACTGTGACGTATTTTTAAGTTGTCAGAGAAAGATACTCTGTTAAATGTGTTTTCATGAATTTCCTTGTAAATAAAGGTCATGTTTTGTGGAACAATCACTTATTTTTATGGTTGGTTGGTTCAAGGTCATTCGTGTGTTTACACCCCCGCACTTGGGACTCTATTGTTTAACTTTGCCCCAGATTCATCAAAACCCTCTTCTTTTTTCTCGATGTAATTATTATCATTACCATTATTATTTCTCCGGTAACTCCAAACTATAGCTAACCGAGAGGAAACTACTTAATAAAGACCTTGAACAATCTCTATCGCTCAATTAGATGAGTCCCAAGTAAAAATTGAGTAATTTGAAAAAAGGACGTAATCTTATTATGGATAAAATTTTATTTTCATAAAGTCACACAGTGTTATGTTATACAGCAATATTTACTGATGACCACGTTTCGAGCACAATTTATCACTGCTCATAATCATATCAACCTGCTCTCACTAACACAATTTTGTTGCTTAATTTATATAAAACCAGGGAGAACTGGACAGCTGTTTCATCCTAGTTTGGGAATCATCGGCAGTACGCACCCACCATAAGGGTTACAGCCCAACACCTTACGGTTACAAGGCAAGCTCGCATACCATTCAGCCATTGGGACCCGATTCAATGGCCATCCCAGGAATTCTACCTTGTACCAATTTGTGATTTAGCGCGACCCCAACCAATGTCGTCGGTGGGACATCCATCCTCACACGTGAAATCTGGATGGACCTCACTGGTCACGACTTATCATTAGAACTCCAGGAAACTCCAGCGGATGCTTCCCAAATTAGGACGAAACAGCTATCCAGTACTCCCTGGTTTTCAATGGTTCTCTAACTGATATCAATCCATGATCAACTCGTAAAAACAAAACTAACCCATACAAACCAACTGTAGAAAATTAATTTATATACATGAGTAAAAATTGATTAGATATTTGAATAAAATCAATATAAGATAAAGTACATTCAGAAAAAGTAATATAAGTGTTATCAATAAAATACAATCAGATGGGAACTAAGATGTTTTTTACAGTAAAAACAAGTGATTTGTTAGAATGTTATAATGTGAATTGAATTGAATACATTTTAACATTATTTATCATCCTCTGTGCGTCGGTGGCACAGAGGTATAATGTTCGTCCACTACGCAGGGGGTTGGGGATTCGATACTCGGCCACCGATGCACTCCCACACTTCGCTAAGCCAATAATAAGATTGGTAAAGAGGGAAAGTTCGACATGAGGCTAGCAACTCCATCCAGTAAAAATATAAAACACCACTGCTACCGAAACTTCAAACCTCTAGTTTGACGCCCTGTGTTCCACTGGGAACGTAGAGGAATAAAAAGAAATCTGATTTGACTGGTAGTAATATTTTTTCCATATTCCTGGTATTATTGATGAGTCATTCTTATTGCATGTGTTATGTTGGGTGTATAGTCCATGAACAAAGACTCAGTAATCAATCTCTCTTTCTCTCTCTCCACCTACCTATATTACTTTTTAGAATTGTAACTCTGTGTCACCCTATTGTGTGGTTGTGTGTTAATGAATGCAGTGTGATTAATGAGCTTTTTTTCTAAATTACTTATCTTCATGGAGTCAATCTTTCTAACTTCAGCTAAATTCTTACGTTCTGATAATCTGACTACCCTTGATCTACTAGTTTGACCTATGTAGTTGACACATAAGTCTTATATTGATTTTATTCAAAGGTCTAATCAATTTTTACTGATGTATATAAGTGAAGTAAGAAAGTTATGTGAGTACTGTGACATGATTATGAGCAATAAATTGTGCTCGGAACTTGGTCATCAGTAAATAATACTGTATAACATAACACTGTGTGATTTCATCAAAATAAAATTTTATCCACAATGGAATCATACTCTATCACAGTGCCCAAGTTTTATCCTGATATCAATAAAACGTGAGGTAATGTTAAAAAATAGTCACACAGGGTCTGTCTGTCTGTCTGTTTTCGACAGAGAACTTTGCACCGTTGTGCGGCAGTTCAAGTCGCCATACTCCACTCCATGTAGCACACAAAGCAAGAGAAGAAAGTAGAAGAAATGCCAAATGGAGACAGTAGACAGAGGTGTGAGACAAAGGTATAGTAATAACGAAGAACAATAGAGTTTTAGGGGCATTATAAGTCACAAGGGGTGGATGCATTTGCGCCAGCCAGCCATTGACAACGATCACTTTTAGCCATATCACCAACTGTTTCCAGCCTTCATTGGTTTTTACCGTCCCGAGGACCCCAACCAGGAAGTCTACACTTTCCTACGTGGCTTAAACTAACTGTTGTGGATTTCATTGACTGATGAAGCCATGTTTTGGCTTGATCACCACTAGCTAACTCTTTTCCAACGTGATCCATCCTATGACAGCTATCATTGCCCGTTGAAGAAGGCGATCGATGGCTAGTGGTGCATGCGTAACATGTCCTGACCATCTCAGTCGATGTAACTTCACATCCTCGTCGATTGATTTTCCCTCTCCATCTACCTAGCACTCGACCGATGCCTAACCTGAATATCGCTCACCCTATTATACCACTTCACACGGGAGATAGAACGCAGGCACGTGTGATCAAAGACAGCTAGCCAGCCTTTTCACGTCTTCCACTCTCAATGGTCAGGTCTCACAGCCAGTCAGTCATAAAGGAGAACGAAGCGGACTGCTGAGCAGTACACACGCCCAATCAGAACCCTACCCCCCCCCCAAAGAAAACAAGAAAACAATTAACATTATCTAATAATCATAAACTAACCTGTAGTGATTGTTGGTGCTTTCAAATATTTAATTAAACCATTCCCTTGATCAATATAATTATTGTTACTATGGATCCCTGCATTATTATTATTATGATTATGATTATTATTACTATTATGATGATTACGATGTCCCACTGACGTGGATGGACTACATGATGTCGATGCACCAGCCGGAGTATTCATTGTTGTTGTATACTGTGAACAATAACGTGGATGTGGTTTCAGCAAAATTTCTATTTCAGGATACACAGATGGTGATGATGTAGAATTATTATTATTATTACTATTACTATTATGATTATGTAATGTATTATTCTGTATATGATCACGATCAATACCAGTACAAGTAGTATTATTACTGATCCCACCAATAGTACCAGCAGGGCCATTTGTTGCAGTAGTAGTAGTAGAAGTGGGAGCAGTACTCAACGCAGCTGATGTAGGATTCCTGTGATGATGGACCACAGGTAAGTCAGAGATGGAACTATTTTCACCAATTGAATTTGTATCCATTCCACTTTCTGTATCAGAATTATTAATGATTTGATTATTACTATGTAGAGATGTGGCGGTGATACGCCTTCCTGAACAATTTTCATTGTTAACAAACTAGAAATAAGGAAAAAAATAACAGAAAAACAATGAGAACGACATTACACACACACATGCACAGTATCGTATTATTTAATTGGTTGGAGGATTTCATCAAGAGCTGACATCGTTTAGAGAACCATTGGAAAACCAGCACTGGAATACTGGACAGCTGTTTCGTCAGTCTAGTTTGGGACTCTCCAGTAGTATGCACCTGCCACAGGGGTTCGAACCCAGGACCTTCCAGTTACAAGGAGAGCCACTGGGACCCGATCCAATGGCCATCCCGTGAATTCCAAATTGTGCCAATTCATGACATAGCGCGACCACTTCGTAATGTCTTCTTCTTCGATGAGTTACTACTTCACCTTCAACCTCCTGTACCCTACTGGTCACGAATTCCCACTAGAACCCCAGGTCACTACCTGAATAGGGCCAGTAACTAGTGAGCATCAGACCAATTTTCAAGTATGGGTTTTGTTTGATTGATTGGAAGATTTCATCATGAGCTGATATCAGTTACAGAACCACTGGAAAACCAGTCAGGGAGTACTGGACAGCTGTTTCGTCAGCCTAGTTTGGGACTCTTCATCAGTACGCACCTACCTCCAACCAATCAAACAAAATCCCTACAAAACCAATACTTGAAAATATCGTAGTATTTAACCGAATTTCAATTATCATCTCTGCTCCAGTGAGGTCAGGAGTGCATACTGCTGAGGAATCTCTAAAAAAACTAGGCTTAACCGATAGCTGCTACCTTGACATAGTGGTTGGCGCCTTGCACATAACAATCACTCGGTGAGCTACACTGGCTCAAACTAATGTTCCTGCAGGTCCTATCATGCCAGAAAGGTTCTTTGGATAGCGACTTAGACTAAAAGCAGTTACTGGCATAGTGTAAGATTTCTTTTACACTAAGTTGGAGGTCTGTGCTTGAAGTCATGCTCCTAGGGAATAGGGATGTAAAAACAGTAAGGTGTTTTCCGTCAGACGACCAGTAACCCAATTTTCCTGTCTCTCTATTCTCGAGAAGATGGAGGTTAGAAAAGGTTGACCGCGGAAAATGTACATCCCAACTTGGTCTCCGATAATTCCATAACCGGCGGTAAGTTCCTAATACAGATACAACACCCCCCCTCCGAAAAAAATCCACTTCAAAGAGGTTGTGTATGACTCATCTTGAGCAGTTGTCCACTGGGCTTCGAGGTTATACAACATTAATACTTTTTCTGTTTTGGGTATCCTGAGAAAAGTCAATTTCCATAGGGTATGGACGACTGGGGAGTAACAGCCACCCACACATTTCCAAGAGCATACAAAGTACCTTTATACAAAAACTAGGTAGAAAGAATTGTCAAGTACTCTCTTCTGCTACAAGACTGGAATACACTGACTCCTAGCTTAAAGACAAGGAGTGAATTGGTAGGGCATGTTGATCGCTTCACCCACTGGAGAAGTTGAATCAGTGCCCCTATGAATTGATTACTGACGTAGTCTCAGAACGGATTAAAAATAAGCTAGTGTAGCATTTGTCAACTTCCATCATCTTTGGCGTAGAAGTGATATCGATGAAAAAATATGTGCACTACACTCTGCCCTCCTTCATGACTGTGACACAGCCATTGAAAAACAAAGGTATGCAAAAGACAGATGATGTTTCTTGATTATTTTAGGACGTTGCAACGGCCTAGTGATAGCCGTGTCAAACCAACTAACTTATGAGAGCGAAACCACACCAAAGAAAAACGTGCTTTGACCACAGATTTTCGCGTTTGATATCTTTCACTTTCTATGTCCTTGTCTCAACCGTAAACGGGGATACACGAAACGTACACACGTCCATTGATAGACAGTCAGATATCATGTAAAAGTCAGAGGTGACGTAAATTGACAAATACCACACCAGCTTTTTCGTCAGTAATCAGTCCTTTGGAGGCGATGCAATTTTAAAAATAAGCGAAGTGATCAACATGCCCTACCAATTCACTTCTTGTCTAGAATTCGGTGCAGTCTAGTCCTGCAGCATCATCTGATATATTTGATAGGGTAGGGCAAATCACATGCCAAATATTCGATGATTTCTGCTCAAGTTTTGTTCAGAAGATTATGCATTTTCATCGGAATCTTCATCTAGGAGGAGAATATCACCCTTACACTTTTTCCAAATAAAAAAACGAATAGGTGAAAACCGAAAAAACAGAACAACACAACGTCAAAAGAAGAATACTTACATTTGATGACGTCTCTTCCTCACTAACTGCAACGTCTGTATGTCCTGCTTCATTTGTTCCACTATGACCAGTAACAGTAGCAGAGGCAGTAGAATGATTCATGTCATTTGAAGGATTCCCAGTAACTGATGATGATGCTGATGTGTGCTGTGTACGTCCACCAGTGTGACTTGTACTTCTCCCTCGACCACCGCCACTGCCGCTGGTTGTATTAGCTGCCGAATTACCATTTATGCCTAATTGTTGTTCAAGAGAACGTGTTAATGCAGCGCTTAAATGTTGCCGATTTAAACGTGCCAAAATTTTATCCTGATGTGCTTCATACTCCTATGAGAGAGAGGGAGAGAGAAGCAGAGGGTGACAAAAAGATGTATGTATGTGTACCTTTATAGAAACGTCATCCTCTAAAATTCAAAACTTTTAATGATGAAATAATAACAATAGTAATCACATAAAACAAATCCAACAGGGAAAATTTCTGTATGACGCTATATACTACTGATTAACTAATTGATAGGACTCTTTTAAATCAGCTTTCAGAAATAAGCCTCTTCTGCAAACTTTATGGGACAGAAAGAAATGAAGCCACAGCTGACTGACTGACTGACTGACTGGTTTCAACAGAGAACTTTGCACAGATGTGCAACAGTCCAAGTCGCCACACTTCACTCAGCACACATACCAAGAGAAGAAAGTAAAAAGAAACGCGAAATAGAGACAGTAAACAGAGATATGAGGCAAAAAGAATAGTAATAACGAAGAACATTATGGTTTCGTTGGGTATTATTAATCACAAGGAGTGGATGCATCTACACCAGCCAGCCATTGAGAACGATCACTTTGAGCCATATCACCAATTGTCTCCAGCCTTCATTGGTGTTTACCGTCCCGAGGACTCCATCTAGTCAGGAAGTCTACGTCTTCCTTCGTGGCTTAAACTAACTGTTGTGGATGAAGCCACAACAAGTCTGTGCTATTGATGAGTGGTCATAAAGACTACTGCAGTGACACTGAGTGGTAATCAACAACTCATTGCGATCAGCAGTATATAGCATAATGAGTTTGTGCTTACTTTCTTCATTGTCATTTATGGTATCAATAATAATAATAATAATTTACTTTATTCCAAAACAGTACTTGTGGTACAGAATGGAATTCTCAGCATTTTTACTACAGTATTGCATCCAGTTAGTACATTATCAATAAATAGAATTCTACATAGATTAAGGAAATCTCAGTTCATTATGACAACAACATATTGGCATGTCAGTAGGAAAGCCAAAGTTAAACAGTGTTTGAAGGTGTTAGAAAAGTAGGTGCTATCATATTTACTGGCGTAAGCGGAAGAAACAAACAAAGCAGAACATAATGGAAAAAAAGAGAAGAAAAAAGAGAGAGAAAAGGAACAGAAAGAAAGAAAATGTTGTACCTGTAAATGATATGAATTGGAAAGACGAGGTCCAGTTGTTCTACTGACTATTTAATGAATTATAGGTGTCACGCCTAATGTTTTCTTTATTGCACAGAACACGAGCTAAGTAGGGTATGGTTGAGTTTTTGTACTTGCTGGTGCGAGCATATAGTTTTTTATATAGGATTGTGGTTTTACCTGATGAGATGCAAGGGGAGAGTTGTGAGTGAAGAGGGTGGTGTGAGTTAGATAAAATGGATTTGGCCCATTTTTCACATGAGTCCAAGTGCCTGCCTGTCGACCAGAATATTAACAAACTGGTTAAGTGGCACGTTGCTTACCCTGCTGACAACCTTTAACATCCTGCTTAATACGGTATAGTCCTTCTTCAATGGCCCTGGAAAAACTAAGGGGGAACAATACAGAATAATAGGCAGAATGCGAGAGTTAACGAATTGTAGGAGTAAGAGTCAGCTGGTTACTACTGTTGTCAACAGACACCTTAAATCATGTCAAAAAGTGGTCTAGATCCATATTGTCTGACCCTCTTGCTGGATCTCATCAGGTGGGACTACAAGTCATATTGTAAAAGATTATATGCTCGTACACCCAAGTACAGAAACTCAACGGTAGCCTACTTCACCAGCGTCCTAAATGATAGAGATAATGCTAAGCAATGAAACCTACGATTTACTATGCTATTAGCAAAATAATTGGCTCCTTTGTTCTCTCTTATTTGTAATCTATGGTGAAACTATTTTAATCGTCTAATAATATTCTTTTTTTATTATTTTTATTGCTGAGTAAATTAGTTGGCAATACTGTACCAAATGCTGAGAATTCCACATTGTATCATAAGTGCTGTCTTGGAATAATGCAGAATTATTATGATATATTTTGATCTTAGTTACTTCCTTTTTCAAAGGGAATTGTGGTTAAATGTTATCTCCTCAAAATCGTACAAATTGCAAACCACAAATTAATTTGCAAATCGCGAAGTTTAATTTAACGTATTACTAGTTCCTTCAAGTAGCTACCCGGAATTCGGATAGTTTGAACTGATTCACTGAGTCGAACTGTACAACATTGCTGATTGTGGGGAGATGTAGTTCGTTGGCTTAAGCACTCGACTTTCAGTCGGCGGGGGGGTCCCTGGCTCAAATCCAACCGCCCCACTACTTACTCCAATATGAGCAACTGGGTAGTATCATTACCTGACCGATAGCTGCTACCTTGACGTGGTGGTCACCGGGCTTGCACATTGCAAAGACCCAACAAGCTACACTGGCTGGAACTATTGTTCCTGTAGGTCCTACTAAGCCACGAAGGTTGTTAGGATAGCGATTAAAAGCAGTTACCGGCATAGTGTAAGAATTTTTTCACACTATGCTGGGAGTGTGTGGGCAAAATCGTACTGCTGGGGAACAGGGATATTACAGCCACAGTGAGATGTTTCCCTCAGATGACCAGCATGCCAGCCAGCTATGCTCTATCTCCACTCTGGAGAGAGGCGGGAGTTAGAAAAGGTCGAATTCAAAAATTGTACACCACGACTTACCCCACTTACGGTGGTCCGTATGCGGCGGTGAGTTCACTAATACGGAACCAATCCGAGAAACCGGTTTACACAGGCCGTGTGTGACCGGCCTCAAGCAGTTGTCCCCTGGGCTCTGCGGTCATGCAACACTAACCCCCTTTTTGTTTCAGGTACTCAGATAATCAGACAGACAGACAGACAGTATAATTAGACCAATATAGGGCGATTGAGTAAAAACTAACTAAAACTGCTGATTAAGTCGCTACCCCCATCCCCACTAAACGAGCAAATTCGTCATGTCCAGTGTTTACATCAACTCGATGATCTAGCTTTAACAGGCACAATACTGGTTGATCTGGATGGTATCTAACTACTTATATTAATCTATCAGTAGCATATAGTTTTATGAGTTCAGGCTTACTGTCTTGACCGTCACTTATGATATATCAGGCACATCACACATACATTGCAATCTGAATAGTTCCTGTTTCCAAAAGAAACTACGGTGAAATTTCACCTCCTCGAACTGTGTACAATACGAATCGCGAATTTGAAGGAAATTTCTGTTTACCGACAAAGTCATCTGTCTGTCTGTTTTCGACAAAGAGCTTTGCACCGATGTACAGCAGTTTGAGTCGCCACACTCCACTCCATGTAGTACACAAAGCAAGAGAAAAAAGTAAGAAGAAATGCAAAACATAGACACTAGACAGGAATATGAGACAAAAAGAATAGTAATGACGAAGAGCAATATAGTTTCATTGGAAATCATAAGTCATAAGGAGTGGATGCATCTGCGCTAGCCAATGAGAACGATCACTTTGAGCCATATCACCAATTGTTTCCAGCCAAAGTCATCTTCAATAGAGCTGTGTAATTGCATTACAGTTCACTAAATTGGTTCAGGTGTAGAACACCTGCCGCCAACCACACTTCACGTGTCCCGAAGTTCGACCCCCTCCCCGCAGACACACTCCTAAACCTCGCCTAGCTAGTTAGTGGTGGTAAGCCCGGTTAAAAAGGGAGGGTTGTGTGTGAGGCTAGTAACCCTAACCAGTGCAAGAACAACATCGTCACTGAAAATTTGAAGTCCTATTTTCCACTGGGAATGCAAAGAAATAAGATTAAAATAAATAAAAGACGTGGATGACGGCGACATAATTGATACAGTTACTCATAAATCGTTTCTAATCATACGAGGTAACTAACGATAAGATGACAGTTTTAAAATCTAATATAACAGCAGCATACAGGGAGAGATTGACGACAGAAGCTTTGTTTATAGAATCAATCGTAAATACATGTAACTGGAATGATTCAACACCCGTCCATCAAGACATTTGGAAAATTCTACTACCCCAACGACGACAAATAGGAGAGGACAAAGGAAACTATAAAACTCAAGTTTCCAAGTCGTGTGATTATAATTGATTGATATGATTATTAACAATACTAAATTGTGTTGGAAACTTTGTCATCCAGTAAATAATACTGTTTCACTGTGTGATACATCTGATAAACAAACTAATATGGAATAACTAAGTAGTAGTCGACAACACAATGAAAGTAAGAGTTTATTAGACGAAAAGCAAGGTAGTAGGGCGTTCTCTTGACAAGTGTGACGAAGGTGAAAGAGAGGAAAAGACGGCAAATAAAATGTATAAAGGGGGCACACATATAAGTGATGATATTGAATTACTTATTAAAAATAGAAGCAAATAAATAAATAGGAAGGAGTTTAAGGCCATGACAGTATGAGACAATGAACGAGTCTTTTCTTCACACAGAGAATTGCTAGCACCTCCAACAGATAAAAGTTTCCAAACCTAACACACCTTGTACTCATTAGATGATAGTTGAAGACGATAGACACAAAGTCCTGGACCTAGGTTTCGTGCTTGTTGGCACTCACCAGTCAGCCAGCAAGGAGTAGCTGCAACCTTGAAGAAACTGATGTCTTTCCCTAGATTCGAACCCGCTTCAGCCAGTGCTGCAGTCAGAGACGTTACCACCACTGATTTAATCGGGCTGATCTATTCGCGATTGACCTCCTGTAAGACTGCATTGGATACTTTGATTGGACGCTAATTAACTGGGGTCATGTGTCTAGTCTTTTGTTTGGTGTAGACTGAATTCTATCAGTCAAATTATGAACAACAAAAAACATCTTGTATCATTTAGTCTTCCTTTCTAGATAAAATTTAGAAGAGAATTTCAGTGGAACAATGTAACCGGAGTTCATCATATGCTCAAGTGGAATTGAAACATTTCTCTGGTAATCCATTTCTAAAAGTTTCCATAAAAATTCCTAAGGCAGGACTTAATATCATGCAATGGGAGACATTTGACAGAGGTTACTTTCTTCACTTATCCAGCCAGGAAGCACGGTTTCAACCACAGGCGGACGAGACGGATAAAGATATCAAAGCCAGCCAGGCAGAATCGGAAAGGCGAGATACGCTTTCATCAACTTGAAAGCAGTTCGGAAATCTTCTGCTCTCATTCGCTCACTCAACATAAGCAAAAAGATTCGGATTTTCAACACAAGTGTGAAGTCGGTCAGTCAGTTCTTCTATATGGGTGAGAAACTCGGCCAGCATGTCACGAAAAAGATTTACAACAAGTTGCAGACTTTTGTCAACAGCTGCCACCTTCGCCGGCTGCCTCCATGCTGAAGGTCAAATGGCCAGCTGGCCAGAAAGAATTAGCAACAAGAAACTCTGGGAGGTGACGAACCAACCAATAGCCCATTGCTCAACAAATATGTAGGAGAAAATGGAGATGGATTGATCGGGTATAGGTTGAGGAGGTCGTCGAATAACACCGCGTGCAATGCAGGCCATCGCCCGAGTGGAATCCCAATGGGAAGTGACGAGTGGGTCGTCAGTGCGAAGTTGACATGAAGCAGATTGTGTAGCGAGGAGGAGGAGATGAGAGATTATGGGCAATCGTAGACCCAGCAGAAGAGGACAGGATGTGTTGTTGAAGCCCGATGTTCCACTAGGAACCCAACAGACTAATAATAATAATAATGCATCATTATTTCACAACATCAAAAAATTATAGAAAATAACCATGGAAATAAATACATACTTGACGACTTGGATAGATTTTTGCTATTAATGCATCAAAATTTGGATCTCTTCTCAATGATCTTTTAGAGACCAGCTTTTTACGACATGTTGGACATTCTTTATTACCACTACGCAGTGCTGTTATTATACATTCAGAACAAAAACGATGTAGGCATTCTTTTGTTGTCATAGTGACTTTTAATATATCTAAGCATATTGGACACATTAATTCACTTTTTAAACTTCTTGGACTAACAGCAATCACTGTACCATCAGTAATTGGTTCTTGTGGTTTACGATGTAGTTCATATAAAGTAAGCTCCCAATTTTTAGATGATGCATTCTCTGTACTCATTTCTAAAAGAAATACGAAGAGAAATGGTGATAGTGTGCATAACTTAATTCGTAATAAAAAATAATGGACGTATTAATTCTATCATAAACTTTCAAAGACACAGTTTCTAACCATACCACCAGTTTTTTATTCCTTTACGTTCCTAGTGGAACATACAGCTTCAAGCTGGAGGCCTCATACCAGTCTAATTACTAGCTTAGCGAGGTAAAGAAGTGCGTCGGTCGAGGATTGAACCCTGGACCATATGTGTGGTTGGCGAGCATTCTACCACTGTGCCACCGACGCTACAGTGTTACACCCATTGACTGGGTATTTGTTTTCAGGAGAACCAAACATACCCATCCCTGTCTCTTGCGAGACGAGACCGGGGCATGCAGGATCATCCTGTGGCGCAACCACTAGAGAGCCCTCTCCCTCGGTGGACCATACCACCAGTAAGCAAGTATTTTATTATAATAACCTACAGTGTGAAATTATTTCGGCAGCTGAATTTCTCTAATTGATGTGAACTGCTTATCCTGTGGAAACAAGTAAAAGGCTATATCAATATGTATTTCAGAGACCAATGTTTAATTGATATCCAATAGCTTCAAGTCTTCTTATTATGAGGCAAAAGGAATAGTAATATGGAAGAGCATCAGAGTTTTGTTGGATATGACTGGCAAATCACAAGGAGTGGATGCATCTGCACCAGCCATTGAGAACGATTTTCAGCCATATCACCAATTGTTTCCAGTCTTCATTGGTGTTTACCACCCCGAGGACCCCAACCAGGAAGTCTACATCTTTCTACGTGGCTTAAACTAACTGTTGTGGATTTCACTGACTGATGAAACCATGTTTTGGTTTGACCACCACAAACTCTTTTCCAACGTGATCCATCCTATATCCGCTAACATTTCCCGTCGAGGAAGGCGATGGCTAGTGGTGCATGCGTAACACATGTCCTAACCATTTCAGTCGATGTAATTTCACAGCCTCGTCTGTTGATTTCCCCTCTTCACCCAACTAGCACTCGACCGACGCCTAATCTCAATATTGATCACCCTATTATACCACTTCACACAGGAGATAGAACGCAGGCACCTACGATCAAGGACAGCTAGCCAGGCTTTTCATGTCCTCCACATTCAGTGACCAGGTCTCACATCCATAAAGGAGAACGAAGCGGACTTCTGAGCAGTACATATGCCCAATCAGAACCCCAGAGACGGCGCAAACTGGCATATGCGAAACTAGCCTTCTTTATCCGTGCTGAGATTTCGTCGGTGACCAACCCGTTGAGACGGATGCAGCTTCCCAAATAAGTGAAGTCGTCAACACGCTCTACCACTTTACTCCCTATTTCTAAGCTAGGTGTCAATGGAGTCCAGTCCAGTTCAGTCCTGTAGCATCATCTTACAACTGGCGGGAGCGAATCGCATGCTAAGTATTCACAGATTGCAACTCATGGTGTTCAGGAGACTGCATTTTGTTAGCGTCTTCACCTAGGAGGGAGGACTATATCATCTGCATTTACTAAGTCGACGACATCATTCCCTGGTAACAACTCAATCCCTGAGTTTCTGACTTTCATCATTCGCCAAAATCCGCAATTATTAGACATTACTATGGATCGAATTTATCAACTAATAAAGAGTAAGCAACACAACAAAAATGTTGATGTATTTGCTTGTATTCATCCTACTTTTTAAAAATTATTAGTGGGTTTACTGATCATTTTGTCCACTCAAAACTAATAAACAGCCTAAAAAATTTAAGTCCAGTGTTAAACTTCAGTCTCCTAACACACTGAGTTTTAATACAAACTAAGCGTCTCAAAAAAATTCAAGTTTCCCACTTTTTTAGAAATACTGGATAATTTTCTGAACACAAAAATCTATAGAATGGGCAATTCACCCACTTTACTTGCTAACTAGTTTTTGGATAATTTTACTAATTTGTAGATCTCATTCTTGTGCGTCGGTGGCACAGCAGTAGAGTGCTCGCCAACTAAGCAGGTGGTCCGGGGTTCGATCCCCGGCCACCGACGCACTCCTTTACCTCGCTAGTCCAGTAGTAAAACTGCTAAAGAGGTAAGGTTGGGTATGAGGCTAGCAACCCCATCCTTTAAAAATAAACACCACTTCTACAGAAACTTCAAGCTTCTAGCCTTAAGCCCAATGTTTCACTTGGGAACGTGAAGGAATTTTAAAAAATGACCTCATTCTTACTGCTAATTGTTAGGCCTTTAATTAATTCTTTTATTTAAAATTCTATTGTCATTATTCATCGAAAAGTGTTTTCATATAAATCACAATACGGTAAGAGTAAATGCTAGATACCAGTCAAATGACTCTGAACTAACCAATCAAACAACTCAACGTTACAAGTGATTGCTTTTCGTAATCTTCGTTACAAGTTTCAACCTGATTCAGGACTAGGGTTAGGGTCTGTCTGTCTGTCTGGATTCAACATAGAACTTAGCACCGAAGTGCAGCAGTTCAAGTTGCCACGTTCCAAATAGCACACAAAGGTAGACAAGAAAATGAGTGAAGAGAATCAATAGAGTTTTGACAAGTATAAGAGTGAAACAGAATGAGTAATGGTAGAAAGGAATATGAAAGATTACAGAGACTGAATACATCTGCGTGATTGACAACGATTTTGAGCCATGTCACCTATTGTCTCCAGCCATTGATTCTTAGAGTCCCGAGGGCCCCAACCCGGAAGTGTGCATCTCCCCCCCACCTGACTCAGTTTAACTGTCAAGGATTTCATGGATTGATGAGGCCATGTTTTTGTTTGGCCACCACTTACTCTTTTCCAACCTGCACCTATATCAGCTAGTAATGCCCGTCGGGGGAGACGATGGTTAGGCATGCGCAGCACGTGGCCTAACCATCTCAATCTATGTAACTTCATAGCCTCTTCGAGTGATTTTCCCCCTTTGCCCGACACTCTACCCCTAAGGTCAACATTACTTACCTTATTATACCACCTAACGCGAGAAAGAGATCGTAAACATCTGTGGTCAAAAACACACAATCTCTTCATGTCTTCCGCTCTCAATGGCCACGTCTCACCGCCATAGAGAAGGACGGAGCGAACTGATGAGCAGTATACACGTCCCTTGGTTGACAGCCGGATGTCACGCCTACGCCAGAGACGGTGTAAGTTAGCGAAAGCAGCCCGAGCCCGAATAGCTCAGTGGTAACGTCTCTGACTGCAGCAATGGGTGACGCGGGTTCGAATCTCAGAAGGGACATGAGTTCCTTCAAGGTTGCAGATACGCCTTGCTGACGAGTGCCAACTAGCACGAAACCTAGGTCAGGGTTAGGGTAGGATTAAGGTAGGCCTATGGTTAACGTTAGGATGAAACTCGTAACGAAGATTAGGGCTAGAATGAAACTGACATTGTGCCGCTAACATTTGTTATTTTTTGTGGTTTTATTATTATTATATTTTTTTAATTTTATGTATGTACATATTTATAAAATGACCTAAATTGTTGCAATATGCATAAAAACCTTGGATATTCCACTCTGTATAATTATTGTTTGGAACAATTATTATTATTATTATTATTATTATTATTATTATTATTATATTATTACTAGCGACGTAGATTAGGGATAGAGTACAAATAGCAAATAGGAAGCATTCACATTTAGAACGCTGAGCAATGTAACTGTCATTATTTAAGGTAAATTAACCATAAAGTCAATCAGTCATCATCATCAGTAGTGGATCCTATAACTGGTGCTTATGCAGATTATGGTTTGTTTACTACAACAAATCCTATAGAAAACTGGAACTTCTCTTTACAATATATTAGAGACAATATATCTTATATGAATCACTTTTCTTATACGTATATCCAGTAAATATATTTTTTATATACTCTATAAATGCCACTTTTTAGTTAGAAACACATAAGTGGTCGGTCCATTCGACTGTGGTATTTGTTGTTTACTGTTGCCTACAATCTAATCAGGTTCGAACAACAAAAAGCGTTTTCTGAATATAACCAAGCAGAGCACAGTTTGTGATTTAAGTTACTGAAACTTATGCTTAAAATAAACTGCTGAAGACAAACAAGTTTGAGAATGTAAGATCCCTTTGAGTCACTGCATACTTTCTTCTAAATGGATAATACCGTTAATTGAAAAAATCAACAGTAACACAAAACATGGATCCAGTCAAGGAATAATCCAAATCTAATGCGTCATACGAACGTAATATCATTAAAAATTGGGCACGAATAGTAATTTAGATGTGAAAAAGCGAACTTCATATTTACGAGCAGAAATAATGAAGAAATATGGTGGTTTTATGTAGAAACTCGTGAAATAGTAGTATTAGGTGAACAATTTACTTGTCAGAGTAATGAAGCACTATTGCAAGAAACATAAACCAACTGCACCCATAAAGGTCAAGTTAAACACAAATAAATTAGTATTCCTCAACCAAGTCGAACTGCATTATCTCTCGTCTCATGAACGGCTAAATTACCTAAACTTTACTGCTGTCACTGGATGCTGTCACGAATCGTCCTTACAATGAGATCCTTGCAAAGATACATTTAAATTGATAGATAATTGTCGGTAAGTGTGCAAATGTTTTCATGAGTGGCTAAAACTAGTGATCAGTTCATTTTTCAAATCGCAATGATCATACATATGTATATACATATACCTAATCATACGAAAAATAGTAAAAATTTGGTTAGTGGGCGAATAGTGGACATGGCCAACAGGAAGAAAAAAATACGCAAATTTTCGGTTACATGACATAATTTCCCTCCATTTAGACTAAAATATAACCAACATATTACTATTTCGACGAATAATTAACCAATATTTTCTTATGACCTCACCAATAATTTATCAAAATTTAACCTACATTTTCCCATTATCTCCAAATCACACATAGAAGGGCAAGGAACAGTGAGATAGTTAAAATGAGTGACTTTCGGGCATATGGTAATAGGGGTAAAATAATGGGCAATTCCTGGTTAAATAATAGGCAGGAGACCACTATGACTAGGTAAATGGTGGGAATGACAAAGTATTGGTTAGATGATGGTCACAACCATGAAATTTCGGTCCAATAAGAGTCAAGTTGAGAAGACGGTTGAAATAGTAGAAGTACTTTTAAATAAAAAGAATTCGTCGACTTCCCTAATATAGGCTAAACCCATTATTCACCTGATTTTACACATTTTTGTTCGACTGAATAGGTGTATATGCATATATATATCTTTGGTTGTGGTTCCAAATTTAACGCCATAAAATTGAACTTTAGATTAATATTTTGAGAAATCAACTTATGACATTCGTATAAGATGAGTATGAGATTACCAGAAGAATAAAGGTGTAACGGCCCACCTGTAGCTCCACAGTTGTGAGACGCGGCTATCTTCAATGTACAATAAGCGACATCGTTGAGAAAGATTGATGTAAAACCCTTTAGTTCTTCCCATTCTCCACTCGATGTCAATGCCAAGTAATTTTCTAGTTTATACTGAGGTAGTAGACCCAACTACTTACCTACTGTGAATAGATGGTAGCAGCATACAGGTCTTGTTTTATTACGTGACTGTTATATGCTATGGTAAGTCATTGTTATACACAATGAGTAAGTCAACTTTTTCAAGTGGCATCATGTATGAGAAGCGACTCAAATAGACCCAAAAATAATAGTAACAATAATATTAGACATGTGTAAATATTAAATTTGTAGAATTTCAACGAAATTGAAGTGAATAATTCCTTTTTTCTCAGCAAAATGGCTCGAACTTCTCCAATTTCACTGAGATTTCACAAACGCAATTTTTACACGTGTCTACTTCTCACTCGACACCCAACTGTTTGGGAGCTGTCCCGTGAAATGTTGATTCCAGTTCATATGAATAATAATATTAGTTAATTAAATATCAATGAAAGGGTAAGTTTCAGTATTAGTTCACATCACTTTCCCGAGGTTTTACTCTGTTTTCCGTTTGGCTAAATTGGTCCATCCACCGTTTCAGAGTCTCTCAGCCTTCAGAAGTAATTCAAGGCATTAGAGATGCTAACTGTAACACTGTTTCCGGAGTCATTTACCAGATGGATGCTAAGGTGAGAGCAAGCTCCAAATAAAGCTGTTTGATGAGGCTTCCGTGGTTATACGAGAGGACCGCCACTGTAACTTGAGGAAACACTGAGATAGCTCGGTCATTATTAGATGAAGCGTTATCAGTTGAGTCCTAAATCCATGGTGACGAAACATGTGAAAACCTCAGTTCCCACAGTCGCATATGTGAATTGGATGTATGAGAATGCTGTTACATCCTTCCGGGCCCTTCTATGAACCCTTCGCAAAGAAGTGAAAAAATATTTTGCTCGTCATCATCATCAACTATTACTTCAATATTAATTTCTGTTTGGAAAATAAAAAGTCACACTAGGGTACGTAGGTTTTGTGTAGCACTGCAATAGGGCAGCGAACTCACAGGCATACTTCCCATGTTGATTGAAATAATATCATTTGGGTTGCACCTTGAAGTATTCATACGTGGTTGCAGTAATAGTTATGATACATTACTTCCGTGGCTTCAGGCACACCAATTTTAATGACACGGATAGGTCGTCATATAAACTAAATAAATACAGTGTATGGTGGAGTAACATAGACACTTTTTTCAACATTACAATCATCTGGAACAGTCTGCTAACTAATTGCTAGATGTAATGCATTAAGAAATTTAGAAGTACTGTCTTCATATCAACAAAATAACCCAGGTTTAAGGTAAATACATTACAAACACCTGACAAGAGAGGCTTGAATACAAGTCTCCTACATACTTTTGTAATGTGGGGCCTTGCATCAACGCTGATGCGGGCGTCAAATGAGCGATTAAAAAGGCAATACAGACCTTCATCACTGTGGAATCACTGTAGAAATCAGCTGCACTCAGCACCGGGAGGAAGACTAGCTTGTCAGTTTTAATGTGCATTCATTTCTTTGACATCGTTCAGAGACTTAGCGTTCATATCATAAGCAGTCCAATACAGGCTTTCGTTAACAGTTGTCCCTATGCCTAGGATCGAATGACTGACCAGAGATGATTAGCGATAAGAAAATCTGGCAGAGAACCAACCAAAAACCAATCGCCTAACACACATGCAGAAGAAATGGGGATAGATTGAACGCACTCTGAGGAAACCGTTGATGGACATTACACGTCAGCTCCTTGAAAGCAATTCGAATGGAAAAAGACGTGTTGCGCCCCTGTGGTTGACATGGAGGAAACAGTGTGAGGGAGGAACCAAATGTTGTAGGCAGTCATGGTGCTGGGCAAATAGGAGGCTGCGGGAATGAAGAGAATTAGAGATGGTTCGTCGTGGCGCTGTACTCCACTCGGAACTCAAGGAAATATTAATAATACGGCCAGGCACCCTGTTCTTGAAATGACAGTTTAATTATAATAAGTGAAACTTTTCTATATATTTGTTTTCTTATCTCAGCGATGGCGATGTAAGCCTACATCAGGGGTGAAGTATATCTTGTGCAGGCGAATGTCGTGCTAGTAAATGGTAAAAAGTGGTCATAAATGGATACGCTCCTGGTAAGGAAGCGCTGTGGAATAGTTTCACTGTATCAGGTAGGTCATATTTTACTTGATCGTGGCTGAAAAATGGCATGCATTTTCATGTTAATTTATGTTTATATGAAAGTATAAATTATTATTATATTGTAACAACAGAAGGCAAGACACGGGAGCCAAAGTATGTTTTTCATCAATCAAGCCTCTTTTTATATATACACAGTTTATATTCTTTAACCAACCACCGAGCCTGTGGTTTTGTTTACGTTAAACGAGTGTGGAGTGTTCGAATACATAGTACAGTCGCTAACATCAAATAGAATGCCCAAATATATATGTGAATTATTCGTTGCTAACGCAGTATTGAACTGTGAGAATAATATTCTGACTCCAGCAACAAACAAAATTTCCAAATAGATATTTCGTATTCTTTTTGTAATGTCATATTGAACTGTGGGAATATGTGAAAATCATATTTCGTGAGAACACATTGTCTGTATCACTCACCATAATATAACCTGTAAGTCCGCCACTGTCAATATTTGTAGCTGCATCTTAGTCTGTACGTGAGCTGATGGTTGTAAGTTGACCGAAGTGTGAGGAACAGCTGGATAAACAACCTTATTTTCTATGTAGATCATCAGTAATACCATTACAGGTTTTTCGTCAGTGTTCATAAATGGTGGACTAAACACTTTACAGTAAGTTCAGTGACGACAAGCCGCCTGCCATAGAGGTCACATTTAACTGATGGAACTTAGTCTGAGACAAACAAAGGACTAGGCGCACGAGACCAGTCAGTGTCCAGTGAAGTGATATCGTACGCTTACGATAGTGGCAACAAGTCAGGATCGGTTCCACATCAACTGTAGGTTCGTTAGCCCTCCACTGCAAGGCAAATAGAAGATATGAAACAAACAGCACAGTATCAGAAAAAGGCGAAGTATGTGGACAACTGCCTAAGTGAATTTTTGTTTTACATGTATTTATGTGTTTGCAATCATCGTGAATTTTCATTAGCTCAATAGACATTGATATGCGGGTTAATCTGTCATGCATTTAGGCAATAAATCTCAGCAAGGAACATATTCTTACTGCATGGTCATAACCATAAGTGTATTCATGCTTTAGATATTTTAGTGGCCCTAATATATGGTGTGTTATGGAAGCAAATAGTACATTCTTATTGTTTACGTAGTCACTAGAGTATAACAGTTTATTTAGGGGGCCTCTGAATCATGTAACCGAGACACAGATTCTGATTTCCATGGACAAACTGCTCCATATCTTGGAATACATGATTGTGAAGAAGTCTGCGCATAGTGATTTTTTAAAGGCTTATTTCGTTACTGAGCAGGCAATAAAAGCCTACCAGTAAGAAATTTATGTCCCTATTGTCTGAGAGTGACATATTGTGCAAGAACTTAGAGAAGAACACTAGATGTATACTTAGCAGTCTCGTCCACAGCGGGTTAAGATTCAAAGACATACACTTTGAGGTGTAGTCCGATCATATTAATATCCAAGTAGCTTGAACGTGAAATACGGCTGGAAACTTTCCATCTTCAAATTATTACATCTGCGAACACAACTAGGAACAAACCGGCATTACTCTCATAGCAGTCTTACACACGTTTCATGTACTACCATTTTGGCTTCATGGATGTACAAATTTCCGAGCAGGTAGATCTGAAGGTTGCAGTCTTAATTTAGAGTCCACTGAAGGTCAGTGAAGCAGACCCAACCACATTTGTTCTGGCTGACTTGTAACTTTAGAGTGGAGGACCATAATCTCAAAATATCCTGGGTCATTGTATTGGGATGTGAAAGATCCATGGATCATATGTGTACACGAGTGGTTTGCCATGTGAAAAAAGTACAAATGTTACTCATGCAATGCAAAGAGAGGGAAACCCGGGGTTTGCATAGAACTATATCATAAGTGATTAGTCTAGTCTCCGAAGTCACAGACCCTAAGGATAGCTATTTAGAACCCAACTTTCGGGAATAATTAGGGCCATCCCGAAAATAGGTTGTCTATTCCTCAGGGATTCAGCTTATTTACCAAGAGCAAATGGCCGGCAGAGCCAAACGCCTTATAGACGCCAAGATAGGTGAGAAGTACTGGTTGTCATATGCCCGTTTGCTCGTTACTGAGTTAGAGAAATCAAGATCATGCATGGTCGTGAATTTATGAAAATGCTATGGTTTACCGTCAATGCCAACATTACTGCAGCTTTTGGAAGTACTGACTGCTTGGTTATGGCTACCATATGTGAACTCAATGGTACTAATTTATTACAGTGTGGGGAGACACGGAAGTTGCGTTGCATATATGGAGTGTACACCGAGAAATGCGATTGTGGCCTAACGGTAGTCAGCGTCAAATATCTTCCTGAATAATTCACACATGCTTGTGTAGTCATTGTGTAGATAACATCTGTCGATTAGTGGAGAAATACTAGTACGTTATCACTTATTGTAGGAAAAGTGACAGTTCGTTTCCGGCCAAAAATGTCCGGAGCGACAAAGAACTTGTCATATTTAGCTGGATCTGTCAGTAAGTCACAGCTTATTTCGAGTAGATTGAAGTCTCTACATTGGATCTTATACCTGTGTGTAAGGCTGGGCATCTGCCCCAGTGCACTAATAATTTGGGTGTCGTGGTCACTAAAGGTTCAGTGGTGCACTGTGAATGCATCCAATTAGTACATTAACGTTTTTAAGGTGCTTATTGACCCATAGCGCGTGATGGATGTTCCCTATTTTAGGGCTGCAATAGTGTGTAGATAGGATAGTCTTCTCCCCTATTACTCTTCTAGTCACATAGAAAGT